CATCATCACCATCACCACCATCATCATCATCATCACCATCACCATCATCACCATCATCACCATCATCATCATCACCATCACCACCATCATCATCATCACCATCACCATCCTCACCATCATCACCACCTCCATCACCACCACCATCACCTTCATCACCATCACCACCATCACCATCCTCACCATCATCACCATCACCACCATCAACCACCATCATCATCATCAGCTTCATCACCATTATCACCATCACCATCACCACCATCATCATCACCATCATCATCATCACCATCACCATCATCACCATCACCATCATCATCACCTTCATCACCATCACCATCATCACCTTTATCACCTCATCACCATGATCACCATGATCACCTTTATCACCATCACCATCATCACCATCATCATCATCACCTTCATCACCATCATCACGATCATCACCATCATACCATCATTAGCATTATCACCATCATCATCTTCATCACCATCATCACCATCACCATCATCACCATCATCACCATCATCATCATCACCAAGCTTTGGGACTTGTAGAGCCCAGTCTGGGTTCGTTCTTGCTCCTGTGATCACAGTCTAGGTGGTCACTTGCCCCTCTGAGCCTGCCTCTTCCTCTGGGGATGAGGGTAATCATCCCAAGTGTCTGGAGGACCCACCATTGCCCTGGCCTAAGCACTTTTTCATTGTTACCATCTTTCCTCACACCTCTTCCCCTGTCAGGTGTCTAGTCTGTGGTCACTGGACTCTCCATCCTTTTCACTTCACAGGTGAACTTCCAGCTCCCATTGATGGATAAGGCAGGTGGACCGCACGTCCCTGTTTTCTGAATGTGCCGTACTTACCAGTACTCATTGGCAGGGCTACCATGTATAGTTGTGGAATGTGTACACTGTCCAAAGGCCTCGGGAGGCAGGGTGAGGGGCTGAAGTCCAGGCTGCTCTCTACCTGCCAAGCTGGTGCTGGCCACTGGGAGGCTGGGCTTCCTTATTTGCTTAGGCCACCAGCTCACTGGGATGCACACTTGAAGAAGGGGGTGCGTTTGTCTAATTCACATTCAGATTCTAATTTTTGGAGTGGATTCTCATTTCTAATTCACATAAAGACTGACGGGATCCTGTTTGCTGGTTTTGTCTTATTCAGTCAGCTTTTGGATGGGAAAGAAGCAACTCATTTGCTTTTTTCCCCAAGTACCAGTTTCAGGCATGTCTGGTCCAGAGACTTCACCAACGCTGGCTGCCCCTCTCTAACGCATCGCCCATGTGGTTCTGTCGCTGGCCCCAGCATCTCTCCAGATGTGTGTGTCCGGGGGAGGTGTGGGGGTGCGGTGAGGCTGCCCAGACAGCGCCCCTCACCATCCTACCTTGGGGACACCTGCCCTCAGCCCATGGAAGGCCGAGCGCAGGACTCTGGTTGGTTGAGTGCTCATTGTGTGGACCTGTCACCAGCCCAGGCTGGATGAGGTTGATGAGGTTGCTGAGGCTAGCCAGGGGAGGGGCAGCTGCCTGGAGGAGGGGGGAGGTGCGGGGTGGGGTCTCTGAGGGGCTTCCAAGACATGGAATCCTCGAAGGATTCAGAGTCATTTGGGGAAATTTGGAGATGTTGAAACGATTCAGGCATGAAGACCTACCTTCTCTGTCTTCTTTCTCCTAAACAGGGCAGCACACTGAGAAAGCGCAAGATGTATGAGGAGTTTCTCAGCAAGGTCTCCATCCTGGGTCAGTGGCCTTGGCCCCGTGTACAAGGCTCTGTGCCGCGTGGCCTCCTCCAGTCTCGTCTGAGTCCTGCCTGCTGGCCCCACCCATTTCCACGTTCCCTGCATGCCTGGCAGGTTCAGCGCCCTTGGTGATGTGCAAGCTTGGAACACACACATGTACGCACCCACACAGGCGTGCTTACATGCGTGCATGCACACACATGCACCCACACAAGCATGATCACACACATGCAAACATGCATGTGTGCACACACAGGCATATACATGTATGCACAGGCACACTCACCCGCATGCATGCACACGTATGCCCCCACACAGGCATGCTCACATGCATGCACACACATGCACGATCACCCACATCCATACACGTATGCCCCCACACAGGCGTGCTCACATGCGTGCACACACAGGCACGATCACACGTGTATGTGCATACACACACCAAGAGCTCTGTGTCTAGTCCCCTAGGGCACCATTATCCTTTCCTCAAGTGTCTGTGCCCTCATCCTGTGAGCTCCTCTTGTCTGTCCCTCCACCACCAGTGTCACCTCCAGCCCTTCCTCCATGTCTATCAGTTCTGAGCTGCAAGCCCAATTCGTGTTCTAGTAAAGGCGGCCCACTGTGCTGAGCTTCTTCCCACGACCTGTTTTGGTGTTTTCCTAAGTGTGGTTTCTCCTGCTGCATTTCTGCCCTTCCTTCTTCTGGGGTGTGATAAACACAATGGCTCCATTTCTGTTGATTTTCAGAAGTGTCAACAAAATTTTCACCAACAAGAGTTTTTAAGTGTTTTGAAGTTTCTGCACCGTGAGTGATGATCACGTGCTAATGCAGACCAGCCCTTTCTGGCAGAACTTTCAGCAATGAAGCTGATGTTCCTTATCTGTGTCCAGCCTCTGACATGTGGCTGGCGACTTACACTTTGGACAAGGAGGCTCTAGCCCACGGGAGGGGCTGTGCTTGGGAAGGTGAGGGACAGCTGAGTGCTGAGCCTCCAGGAACCGCTGGAAACCACCGCCCAGCAGCAAGCCCAGGCCAGGCTGCTGGGTAAAGATGCTGAATGAAAGGTATCCTCCTTTTCCAAGAACGTAATGGAGTGAGGAAGGGAGAGAAGCAAAGGGCTGACGCTCATGGATGAGGGCGTAGGATTGGGGCAGCAATCCCAGTCCCACGACTGCTCCCCTGCCTGCATGGTGTGAGCTGGGGGGGACACTGGGCTTGCCCTCAGCCCTGGAGCAGCCCTGGCTCCCAGCTGGGCTCTCCCTCTGCCTGGTCCCTGCTGTCCAGACCAGAGAGACGAGGAGAGGGCTCACTGCCTGCCCTTCTAGTGGAGGATTGGAGGGGAGGGCAGGAGGACGCCCCCACACCAGCTCGTAGCAAGCTTGGGCAAGTGGAGGGAAGGGCTACAGCGGCCGCACAGACCAGCCGCAGGAGCCAGAACTACAGAGAAAAGCTCAGAGCAAGCGACACACAGACAAGAACTCAGGAAGAAAGCATTCCACAGAAACAGCAGACAGATCCAGGGTAGTAGCCTTTCTCAAGAACACAAATCCAGTGAGCAAGCAGTGGAGGGAAGAGGTGGGAGAGCATCCTGGCCAGAGCCTCGGAGGTCGGCTGGGGTCCTGGGAGCGGAGCCGGTGCCGCGTGCCCCCCGCCCTACAGCTTCGCCGTTGGGCGTTTCCTGCAAGGGCACAGAGACACGGCCATGGACGTTCGCTGCAGCAGCTTCCACGAGGACTAGGAGGGGAAACAAGGTGAAGTCAGCCGCATCGTGCGGATGGACGGCAGTCACGCGAATGCGCCAGAGCTCCGGGATCAACGCAGATCTCGAGCAGAAAGCCGCACGCGTGGGTGGTGCGAGCAGCCCTCCATAGCGTCTGTGAGGCTGTCTTACGGGAAAGCCCGAGGCCGTGGCCTCGGGGGAGGGAGAGAAGTCAGCTTGAGCGTGATGTCAGGGGGTCTCTAAAAAACAGACCTGAAGGTCAACTGTGCTTCGATAATAAAAGATTAAAAAATTTTAAAAACCTGAACAAATAGATCTGAAGCTACTATGACAAAATACCCATACGATTTTATTCAGGACAGAGGTTGGCTGGTTATGTTGTTCACGCCGCTTCTTTGATTGATCTTTTTCTCCAAATGAAGAAAAGTGGACGAGATTGCGCACGGGGTCAGCCAGGGATGCGCTGGAACGGCATAGGTAGCTGTGGTGCAGTGGTGGGCAGGACCCCTGGGGAGCACTCGCCACCGGACCCAGGGAGGGCGCCGGGGGATGTGGAAGGACGAGCCACCCAGAGACGGTGCACAGGGCGCCCCTGGCCAGGCCCGAGGTGCCCGCGGTGCCCGCGGAGGGCCAGCGCCCCCGAGGCGGGTTTCGGAAGACCCCGGTCAGGGTGGGTGGCCTGCAGTGCGTTCGCTCCTTCACAGGCCACACCAGGGAGCAGAACCCAAAACCCGTGGGGAGGCCAGGTGGGGCCAGCTCGTCCTAACACGGAGCCAGCGCCACTGCCGAGTCGAGCCACCTGAAATGGCCCGTTTTCTACCCCTTTTGACCTAAAAGGTGGGCACTCCATATGGTTCAATCTGAGGACTGGTTTTTTTAATGATCTTTCTTAGGGGAATCTTTTAGAAAAGAAGGTATCTTACATTGAAAAAAATACCTGGTTACTTCTGGCTTCTTTTTCTTGTGTTAAATTTAAGCAAAATAGAGTTAAGAGTTTACGTTGAAAAAGCGACACAGCTGGTGGGTCACGTTTATAAGAGTATTTCCGCTTGTCTTTCTGTCTGTTCTTCTGTCTGGGTCTGTGACTGGAGACGCAGCGAGGTTGCGACGTCGCCGCGGCTATTTCTGGGTGGCACTTGGCAGTTTTTCACATTTTTTACGGTTTGCTGTATTTCTTGAGTTCTTTGTAGTGAATGTGAGTAATTTAACACAGAACAGTAAAGTAGGTCCGGCAGGGAGGGCGCCGCGGGGCCTCTGACCCCACGTCCTCGCGGAGACCCTGTGAGATGGTGAGGGAAGGTTCCGGTTCCTCTCTTCCTCTGGTGGTGGAAGCTCATCACACAGCACGCACCGTGTCAACCATTTCTTGAGGGCGTCTGCCCCTGTCACCACTCCTTGGTTCCAGAACCTTCTGGTCACCCCCAGTGGAGGTGATGGAAGGCACCCCCGTGCCTCTGCAGGTACGTCTGGTCTGGACGTGTCCTAGGAGGGGACGCTGGGCTGTGTGGCCAGTGTCGTACTCAGAGAAGCGAAAATTGGCCGCCTCATGAGCTGGTCCCCACGGTTTCGTAGGGGCTGCGTGAAGGGTATTTTAGCCCCATGAGAAATCCCCGAACCCAGGACCCTGGGGCCCACGGTCACCTTCCACCTCCCTTTACTGGCGCCAGGCGCTCTTACACTCTCCAGTCAGTCCCCGTCCACAAGCTTGGTACCAGCCAGTGCTTCTCCGTGGCCGTCGGGCGGAGCAACCACGAGACTAATCTTCGCCCTCAGTCACCCCGGCTGCAGCGAATCCTCTGGAGAGATGCCTGCGGCCGGCGTTGGGAGGCCTTGCTCTCCACCGGCCTGCCCTCAGCTCCATCCCTCCGTCGGCCGGAAGGAGCGTGGAGGTGGCAGTGTGCACTCAGGGCCTGGAGGGTCCTGCACATGGACACCGGGGTCGGCCCGTGACGGGCACGGAACCTGGCAGGCTTGGGGGAAGCCACCCTGGGGCTCCATGTCTGGTGCCTCGTGTGGTCTTGGGCTGTGGCTGCTGGCGGGACGCCTGCCTGCCTGTGTTCACATACGGTCCAGGTGCAGAGTTGAAATCCCGCTCAGGAAGAGGGCCCGTCTGTAGGGGGGACGGTCAGCCCCCGGAACCCTGAGACTCGGGACCCCGAATGCCATGAAAACGCCCCCAGGGCTTGTGTGTCCTGCGTCGCCTCAGAGACTGGGTACAGTTCAAAACCCGGGGCAACAAACTGCCATCCCCCCAGTGTCTCCTGAGATTCCTGATGCTGGGGACACAGCTTTGCATGTCTCGACTTTCGGACCCCAGAGTATGGCACATTTCAGATGGAACAGAGAAACCTGCTGATGGGACAGTGGGAACGGCTTCCCCCTGGTTGTGTGACTCGCAGAGTTACGTGCCGCGTGGCCCTCAGGCCGGCCTGCATGCCGACTTCCCCCGAGCACGGACTCATTCCGCGTGGGAACGCCACCGGCCTCGGGTTCCCGAGCAGCCCCGGCTGTGCAGACCTTTCCGGATGGGCCGGCGGGGTGCATGTGCTGGCGGCTCCGCAGAAGCTCGTCCTTTGCAATGCGCAGCATTGGCAGGCATCTTAAAGCAGAGAAATCCCGCTCCTAACCCAGTTCTAAAATAAATGCTTTGCTTTGTATTTTTAGCCGCTGACCTACTTAAGTAGCATCTGATAAGTATAGGCCAGGGAAGGTTTTTCTGCCAAAAAAGAAATAGTTAATCAGGCAATCGTTACTTTCTTCCAAAGGAGCGTATTGCGTTTTTTTCCTTTTCCTTCCTGAGGGCTAGGGATGGACAATGATGGGGAAGGGAAGGTGCAGGGAGAGGCGGAAAGGTATCTAGAATTCGCGAGCTGTGAAGATTGAGAGCGTGGCATTGGAATTCAGTGATTTGACCTAAAATAATGGAAGGTGCGCTCTGCCCAGCCCTGCAACATAAGTGCATTTGCAGTTGAACCGTGATGAATGGTGTTTTTTCTGGACGGGTAATCGCTCCAACTGCTCTGAAATATTTTAAACCGCGTAGTAGCCCCAGTGCTTAGCTGTGATTGTGTTTTTGCAGGAACACAGGCAGCTTACGTCTGAAGATGTCTGTTTTCACGCTGGGTTCACAGGCCCCAGTTCCAGCACCCATCGCCTAAGCTAAACCGCGATGCGTGTGAGCACAGCGCCCTATCCAAGACCCTGTCTCCCTGCCGGGGATGGAGCGCTAGCCCAGTACATCCCGCCCAACTCACTGGTGGAAGGCCCAGGCCTTCCCAGCATGGAAGCGCGCTCCCCGTCTCACTCACTGCTGTCTTAGCAAAGGCTGACCGCGGTGCTTCCTGAGAGAGCACTGGGGTGCAGAGTGGGGGTGCACGCCGTGGTGAGGGTCTCCTTGTCGCCCGCTCTAGAGTCCCTGGAGAAATGGGAGCGCCTGACCGTGGCGGACGCCCTGGAGCCCGCACAGTTTGAGGACGGAGAGAAGATCGTGGTCCAGGGGGAGCCTGGGGATGACTTCTTCATCATCACGGAGGTGAGTGCTGCCCGGCTGGGGTGCAGGGGACGGGGCGTCCCGCCCTTGCTGCTCCTGCATGCGCCACCCCAGCCCTCCACCCTCCTGTCTTCTGTCCTGATAACAGCCTCTGGCCCGCACTGACCCGTCTTCTTGCCTTGAGAATCAGAAGGGTCTCCTCTTAGAAAATGGCGCCGTGTGCCCAGGCCCACACGTGTGATGACTACAGAGGACTGAACACGTGTGGGCTCAGTGAAGGTGGGGAGCATGAATCCACGCCAGAACCTATAGTTTTGTGTGTTACCATTGGGGGAAAGGTGTAAATTTAGGGATCTTTCCACACTGTTTCTTAAAACTACGTGCAAACCTACAATGATCTCAAACTACAAGTTTAGTTTTTTGAGAATGGTTGCAGGTCCTCAGCCTGGACACGCACGAGTCCCTTTGACGAGGCCCCGCGACAGCTGGCTCTGGGGCTGTAATCCGTGGCGGCCACGCTCAAGCCTGTCACTGACAGGGGCGAGCAGCTGCTGTGGCCGCCTGTCCCGGGGCTGGGCTCGCTGAGACCCCCAGAGCGAGCCCCCGCCCAGGCGCTGCCCGGAATGAATGGGGGGCCCGCCTCGTGGCGTGGGCAGCCCTGATGACGCAGGGCCAGAGGTATGCTGCCGTCTGCTGGGCTCGCGTCCTCCTCCTCTGGCGCTCAGGGGCGGAAGGATTTCGCGTTCATGCTCATTAGAGCACATTCCTCAGCTGTGCGTTTTGCCACCGGACAAAGGGAGCCCTTGGCGTGGCAGCGTGGCGGCCTGGCGTGGCAGTGGGCGGTCCCTGCTGGGTCTCAGACTCAGAGGTCAGCCCTTGTGAGCCACTGCCTTGGCTTAAATTAAGAGAAGGAGAACTTGCCAGTTGTCGATGCGGGTGGTGAGGTTTGGGGCCCGCTCTGCCGGCGCTCACCCACCTCGGTGACGTGCAGCCCATAAAGCACGAGCGACACAGATAAGACCCTGCGGACAGAAACACAAATTTGGTCTGCAACTTTAGTCTGGGCTCCTGCAAAGCCCTTCCCGAGAGGGCGTGTCGGAGTCCCTCCTCTCTGCCGCCAGCCTGCCTGCCTGCCCCTTCCAGCAGGAAATTTTCAGAAGGCCGTGGAGTCCAGCTGGAGAACAGCGGGAGGGGAGAGGCGGGTCTGCGGGGGCACCTGAGGCACCGGGGAGGTTCCGGGTCATACCGCGAGCATGCTCGTGGGGACCTGGTCACTTCCCCGCCCCGTCCCAGCACCGTGCCTGGGACAAACCCTGCTTGCAGGTGGCAGGCAGGCAGCCCATGCACGTGTATGAGCAAAGGAGGCTGCCTCCAGCCTGAGCTCCTTGAAAGCCGCATAGATATTTCTGAAGGCGTCCCCAGCACGGGGAAGCGCTCGCGGCGGTGTGGCTCGAGGTCCTTAGGGCAGGAGGCCCACTCAACACAACATTTCCTTGAAAAGGGAAAAGGAAGGAAGGAGGGATGAATAAATCCCAGGCAGGACGCATGCTGATTCTGGTCCACCGTGATGCGGAACCAGTCGTTGGGGCGGAAGGCTGGCCAGGCTCGTCTTTGCTCCCGGAGGCGACATTCCCGAGACTTCTGCTGCGGAGTTTGGTGGGGAGGCCCCGTTTTTATCCTGTGTTGTCCTCCTGCACGTCCAGGAGGAAAGCCGGGGCCTCTGCAGAAAGCTCGTCCTGCCTCGCAGCCATAGTACCATCGGACGAAGGGGCAGGTGGGGTGCCGTCCCCTCTGCGGTGGCATGTGGCCGACCCCTGTGCCCCCACGCCCCAGACCATCTGACCTCTCTCCTGTGGCCTTGGATGTGACACCCTGTCTGGGTTTGTGTGGGCCTAGCATTTCGCGGTTAAGAACATGAGACTCATTCGGAGGTGGAGGGGGTCCCTCCAGCCACCCCGTTCCCCAAATCTGCATTAGATGTGACCGACTGCAGGGTCCTTGCTGCACTCCTGGGCAGGTGGAGTCTGATTCGTGGGAGGGCCTTGGCGACTCGCCAGGCCCCTGGGACGTGTCAGCCCTGTCATAGGGCACTCAGGCTGGTCATGGGGGCTCTCAGACCCTCTAACCTGTGGGGCCCTTTTTCCTGGCGCCTGTGGCCGTGCCGAGATGCCCGCAGGGCTTGGCTTATCATGGGGCCTGGAGCTCCGAGTTCAGCGGCCAGTTGACGCCCCCCCTTGGGTGTCCAGCCCGCTGCATCTCCACAAGAGCGGCCACCTGCCTGTGCCCACAGAGACCCCCAAGTGAGAGCACCCGGCCAGGCTGGCCAGGCCCCGTGAGAGGAGTCCCTGAGCCCTGGAGCTGCCTGTCTGTCCTCCTCAGCTGTCACCACGAGTGATGCCCGTGTGGAGCCACCCTCAGGCGGCTCTGATGACCAAGGGGAGGACGTGATGCCAGCTTAAAAGCACGGATCTTTTCCTGCTCTAGGTTTAAATTCATGAATAAGAAGCTGGTGCTCACAGGGCCAATTTGGCCCAGAGACGCGTTTGTATTGGCCTGTGTGGTATTTTTTAAAAAAATATTTGAATTAATTGTCAGTATTTAAAAATCAAGATATTTCCCATAACAATCTGGATCTCTTCCCTTTAAAAATCTGCTTCCTGACCACCTTGGACCTGTATCCCTATCTGGCCACAACCAGCAGACCTGAGGGGCGGGCCCCTTGGGGTGGGAAAGGGCCCTTTTAGCCTCAGTCCACCCAGCCCTAGAGCCTGCTCGGCAGGCCCTTGCAGGCTTTGAGGTTGGTGGCCTCAGTGCTCGTGGTCTCAAAGCTGAGGGAGTAACTCTTGCCAGCCCAGACAATTGTCCGTTATTTGCTGTGACCGAGGCCGCCTCCCAGCCAGGTCCAAGGCCACGGACAGAAAGAGTGTAAAATGCATGTGAGAGGCACAGATTGGCAAGGGGCCCTCACAGGACGCCAGGGAAGGGAGCCGTTACCGAGTGTGTTCATCCTGATGATGTGAGAGGGCTCTTTCCGAGCCCAGGATGTGTTGTGTGAGGTCCCAGGCCCCCGCCAGGGGGGTCCGGTCAGTGCTCAGCATCCCTTCCTGGGGCGGGGGACACACAGCCAAGGCCGCACAGCCCACCAGTGTCCGCCTCACACCCCACTGGCCGGGGTCCTGCTCCTTGCTCCCGAGTGCCGGGCGGGCATTTGCTGCGTGTGCGTGTGCACGTGTGTGTGCTTGTGTGTGCATGGGCGCCGCAGAGGCTCCGAGCACGCCTCGTTCTCGTCTAGGGCACGAGAAATAGAGTGAGTGCTGCTCCCTTCGTCTTACACATTTATCTCTTGTCTCTCTGCTGCCTTCAGGTGACGCTGGGGAGGGGCCTTCCCAGTGTTGTGCGGCTCTGGGGGGCGTCCCTGCTGCTCATCCCTTAGCGGCTGTCCGTGTCTCTTCTTGGGACCGGCTCTGAGGGTGTGCTGGGGGCAAGCCAGGGGATGGTGCAGGGGGAGGGCGGTGGGGTGATGGTGACCGCCACGGCTCTGTCCAGGGGCTGGGGCCTCCCCGTTGAGGGGGGTGGGGGCTCACACACATCAGGGCGGGTGTGCAGGCTCTGGAATGTAACCCGACACTCCCGGAAATGTATTTGAAGTGGTCTCCTTGGCAACTTGGATTTTTTCCCCTTTTCTTCTGTGATCAACCAGGTCGGGCGGGTCACACGGGACCTCGGGGTTTGCAGGCATCAGAGGCTCCCTGTTGTTTGCTGCGCGGCCCCCTGGCCACACCTGCCAGACAGATGGGTCGGGCCCGCCAGCCTTGCTTCCCCTCGGCGCCCAGTGAGCTGCCTGGGGGCGCCGCAGGTGCGGCTGGAGGACACCTGTCCCTTGGGGGTGTCGCCGCTGGCTCAGGAGGCCCCCTGGGTGGTCCCTGGTTTGGGTGGCACATCAGGCGCCCGGGAGTCGACCCAGAATGTCATAGAACAAAGCAGAAGTTAGTGCTGGTTTTGGGTTTTGTAAAGTGAGCACTTTCCCCGTGGACGCTGTCCCCTGGGTTAGATAGTTCTGGAGACCCGGTGACTATTCGGTGGCTGATGTTTCCGTAGGAGCAGAGACCCCCATGCCTCACATGGAGGAAGTGAAGTGAGGATGGCCTGTGTTCTTCTAGAAGACTTTGCAGGAGGCGTCCAGGCGCGCGATCTCTCTGGTTTGAATTGTCCTCTCTTCAGTCGGCTGACGGCACATGCGCACGTTGTAACGCATTAACCCCCAGTTCTTGGGACGCCTGTGGATTCCACCGTGCAGTGTGACCCCCTGCCCCGTGGAGACGGCGGGAAAGGGGCCAGCCCTGCGGGTCCCTTCTGTGAGGGTTAATTTTATGGGTCAACTTGACCAAGCCATGGTCCCCAGATGTCAGATGTTTGCTCAACACCAGATGTTTCTGAGGAGGTATTTTTCAGATGGGATTAACATTGACATCAGCTGATGTTGTGTGAAGGGGAGGGTCTTCTGTGGTGTGGGTGGGCCTCATCCGTTCAGTTGAAGGCTTTCTTAAGAGAAAAAAGACAGTGGTCCCCTGAGAAGAGACACCCCCTGCCAGCTGCTGGCCCTGCGGATTTTAGACTTGCAGTCCCCACTGTTGTGCAAGCAAATTCTGTGACGTGAACCTCTCTGTCCACACATATCCCATTGATGGTTTCTCCGCAGAACCCTGACTGATGCACCTGCTTCTTGGCTTTTCCAGAACAGTCCGGCCTCTGTGCAGGGGGGTGTGTTGGGCCCTGGGGCCCAGGTCTGGGCACCAGGCGCCTGCTGACATACCTGCCGTGAGGAGCACTGGCTGGGGGCTCTGCGTGGCTGGCTGGCTTGGTGCTGCGCTTCCTACTTTCCTCAGAGCAACAAGCGGGGCCGGGCCCCTTGTCTCCTCACACTGTTTTCTAGCTGAATGTTTCTGCTCCGTTTTGGCAGATGGTCATCGAGTTTGCTTGCTTGTGCGTGTCCTCCCCGCGGGTCCCCCAGGTGTGGCTGAGCCTGGCAGAGACCCCCTGCC